AAAAAAAAAAAAAAAAAAATACTCCAAATCAAATAATCCTCCAAAACCATTAAACTCATAATCGAACAATAACATAAAATTCATCTACAATTCGGATAAATTGACAGCCCTAATTCTAACTCTAATTTCGAAAAACCCTAACCCCAACAACAACCAAACAATACACAATTGACAATTTACACACAAAATTTCAATCCTCAATTCAACATACACACATAATCGATAATCAATTAGCAATTTTCAATCTTCAAATACCACCACATTCAAACATATTATACCAATTCCCAATCTCCAAACAACTTCAAATAATGTAAAAAGTAAAGATAAGACAATATACCTCGTGCGAATGAATTAACCGAAAATGAGGCTCGTGTCGGTGTTGTCGGTTCACGTCGGGATGAAGATTGGATCGAATTTTTTTTCACGAATAAAAATCGCTCTTCTTGCTTTTTTTTTTTCGTTTCTGTTCTCTGCTGCGTGAATGAAATGGAGAGGAAGAGATTTTTTTTTATATTTAATTTAAAAAACGTATTCTGAGAATACGTTTAACGACAATTTAATTGTAAAACGTATTCTCAGAATACATTTTGATTAAATATTATTTTTTTTAGAAGAATTTTTTTTTATTAAAACGTATTCACAAAATACGTTATATGAAAAACGTATTTTGACACTACATTTTATAAAAAAAAAAAAAAATTAGATATTATTTGCTTATTTTTTTTTATTAAAACATTTTTTTAAAATACGTTTTATAAAAATACATTTTACTTTTATTTTTAATATTTGAATTATAGGGAATTTTTTTTTTTTTTTACAAAAATAATTATAAAACGTATTCTCGGAATACGTTTTCTTGATTAATTTTTTTTTTAAGAAAACGTATTCTGAAAATACGTCTTTTTATTTTGGTCGACTCATTTTTTTTTGTCCAATTAATTTTTTTTTTAAATAAATAAACTACTCGTTAATTTAATCTATAATTGCTACTTCAATAATACTATGAAATGCAAGATCTTAAATGCATAATCATGTGCCCCATAATATGCCAACTTTAATTGCTTTTGAATTAAGTCAATTTACAACTATTATATAACCTCTCTCAGTTTCATTGTTTCGTGCATTTCTGCTATTTTCATCCCTTCATTAGAGCTCATAAGTAGTTCAAATTATATAAGTGAACGAATATTAAATTAAAAACTGATGTGTGGAGATAAATGATAGATATTATTTAATTATATTAATAATATTTATGAGAGTTGAATTAAGTTAACTTTTATTTAGATTGTTAGTTAAAAATTAGGAATTTAGGATTATATAATAAAAAGCGATCAGATATTTTATAACCAATCACGCGTAACAAATTAATTTTAAATTGGCGCATATTTCTTTTTATTTGAACGAGCAAATGTTGAATTCAAAGCATTGTTATTAGTGCAATAGAATCAGACGGCGTTTATTTTAAATCCTGATGGACTCGGTAAAATTCTTTATGTTGTTATTGTTCTACTAAGGTCAGTCCCATAAAACTTTGTAATAAAGATATCGTATTTTGGGAAATGTTACGGCCTCGTTACGGATTCATTTCGTCGGAGTTTGTAACTGTTAGAGATAATTGATCTAACAGTTACAAATTCCGACGGAATGATTCCATAACGACAAATCCCAACGGAATGGTTCTGTAACGGGATCGTAGCATCTTCCTGTATTTTGTTTAGTTAAATGTGCAAATTGAAGTTTGCATAGTTTGACTTCGTACTATAATAAGCATTTTAGTTGTGTTTTGATTACCATTGTTTTCGGAGAGCAACTATAAAGACCCCATTTTTCTAGTTATGCACAATTCATTCCTTCCTTCCTATATTGCCATTTCCCTCTCTCATGGCGTCTTTGTTTGGGCTACATCCAACTTTCCCACTCTCTTTTGCAAGGCCTTCTTTGTTCCCTCCCAAGTCTCCATTTCCCGGTCGTCCTTCTGTCCGAAACCGATCAATAAAAGATCACGGTATAGTCGAAAGGAGAAGCACAAAAATCGCCTACTCTCTTGATTTGGAACCCAAGTCGAGACCAAAGCCATTAACTTTCGACCTCCCCCAGCTCAACCCCACCGACCCGACCCGGTTCGACGTGATCGTCGTCGGCGCCGGGCCGGCCGGCCTCCGGGTCTCGGAGCAAGTCTCCCAACACG